TACCCACTGCCGAATCCCTCACCATCACATCTCAGAAGATCTGCACACCTCATCAGCACTGCTGACAGCTGCTGCAGGGCGCACATGATCCAGGGGCTGTGTCCAGCTTCTCCTCCGTAACACAAACACACACACACACACACACACACACTCCCTCAAAGCCCAGACCAGCTAGAGATCCACACATCTTTCTGTGACCAGCACCTGAGCTCTGGACACTGTCTGCTGACCCTGCCGGGATCTCCATCAGCAAGGCCAGCAGCCAGAGTTTTCCAGTGCTCACAGAGGAACCTACAGTGTCTACAGTGAAGTCACAGCTGAGGTGTCGTTGGTGGGCCTGGGGCCGTGGTGAGGCCCCTCCATGCAGGACTTGGGAGTTTCCGGCACGGCAGAACCCAGAATGTCCGTGCGCTGGTCCGTTTTCGCCTCACATCGCAGTAAAAGTTGCCCACTGCGGCCTGTTATTCTGTGTTTATAACAAAATCAAACTGCGGTTACGCTCAGTAAGCACAGTGGTACTGAGAACACAGTGCACTTTTATGGAAAAGTGGGGCCGCATACGGCGCAGGGCTAATGGGCACACTGCATTCCCTGGCTTCCCGCTAATGCTAATGTAGCTAAAAACACACCTTCACTCCCCACAGGGAGAGTTTGGGGCCCTGGGCCTCCTCCACTCTTTCAAATGTTAAGCAGAAACTTCCATTTCATACGTTCCGAGTGTTTCTTTAATTACACACAGTCCTCCATAGCTGGATTCCATTTTCCATTTATGAAAAACTGCACTTACCTTCCACTGAGCCTTTTCAACACGAAACCGGTTCAAATAATTTGAAAATAATCCTGGAGAAAACAATCGGAGTTACAGTGCCTCAGAAAGCATTATGGGAGATTAGCATTCTGCTTTTACATCGATTTCTGGCGGTAGATTCTGTCAGCATGATGTAACTGAGCAGCTGCCATGCTGAGGAGACACATCGAGCTCAGAAATATGAAGACTGCACTAAACAAGTGGGGCATCTCCAGGTGCATCCTTCTGCAGTGCGACCTGTATGTTTAACAGGCTAATCTGCTCACGGTGACGGCCTGACCTCCTTTCCTGACCTTCAATCCGTGGGCAACAGCATCACCATCTTCATCCTCACAGAGACTGGCGTTACAGCCCCTGCAGCTAATGACAAGCTTCCTGCGTGTTTTTTGATGTCTGAGCTTGTAACTGTGCGGGGGTGTCAGGAGATAATCAAAGGTATAGCCCCACCCACCTCAGAGATGATCATGGTGGATGATCTCTCCGGAGTTGTAAGGTCAAAGACCCAGGAAACAAGCAGTGGTTTGTGTAGATGAGGGTATGGGCGAGGAAGACGGGGCACGAGGGCCAATCAGGCGAGAGACAGGCACAGTAACATGGAGGGAGCAAAGGGACCGCGTCCGGACCTTCAACATCCTCCCAGTCTGCAAGCTCCAAGCCACCCAGGCTCCCAATGCGAAAACTGGAGCCATCCGGGACTTTCCAAACGGACTCAAGCTAAGAAATGAAGGATGGACTGGAGAAAAAGGAGGAGCAGAAAATACAGAGGGAAGTGTGACCCTGGCTGGATGGTGCAAGCGGCCGCGGTGAGCCCTCTTCTCATGGTCGAGGTGGAGTTGTACAAGGCCACGTAGGCCCAGCTAATGAATATTCATGGTGGCGTGGCAGCGGCTTTCTGCTTCCCTGTGTGAAGGCCCGTCATGGAGCGGATGTGGGGTAATGAGCTCCCCAGTGCCACTTGGCTCATTAGTTCCCCTCTCAGGGGCCCCGTTGTCCTTGATCGACCCCGCCGGGGCAAGTTTACCCCATCCCAGTGGCCTGACGGGAGAGATCAGACTGTCAGGCCAAGGGGGCCGGTCTATGGGGGAAGTTATTGCTTAGCATTTAGCTTTAATTGGAGAATATTTACTTCAGCGGTCTCCACATGAGTGAGGCCACCGCCAGGCTATCAGGCAAAGTGGCAGGTCTCACATTTGGCTGTGACACACGACAGAAACTGGAGCCCCGAGCCGCAAGTCCCCCAGCCTTTTGCTGACCGCACCCTGCTCCATCAAAGCTTCACATCAAACATCAAACCCAGCACCCTCCGGTGTCTGGCTGGTGCCGTAAGCCTCTCAGAGCCTCCATGGCGCTCAGGTTCAACAGGAGGGCCTGCCGGGAGACCCGGCCCCCCACCCCCCGACACGCTGCCTGGAGACAGAGGCGCGGCCTGTACCAGTGATTAATGTGCGCCTGATGTCCTCAAGTCATATTGCTGAAGGTGTGCACAAAAAAGATCACCCCCCTAGCGAAGGGAATGCAGTCAAGGGTGGGTACTGGTCTCTGCCACAGCTACACTGCCGAAGGATAAATCCATTATTAAGATCATCAAGAGGTTCATTAAAGAAGGACAAATACAGGACAGTCTATGCATCCACAAAAACACACATTTAATGATCCAATCGGCAGGTCACTGTAACCAAGGATTCCTCACACCGCACATCGTCAGGTACTCAGAATCCCATGACAATCCTGAAGACATTTCTGAGCTCAGACAAAAGGACAATAAACGTTAATGTCTTGCTGTCCTGTGGGAACCCGTGGCATTTTGGCAAAGTGAGATTTCAAAGGAAGGGCAGGTGGGACCGGGGTGGTTCTGGGACCGTGTGAAGCGGGCTGCGACCTGTTTAGCAGGCAGGCACTGACAGCAAGCTCTCGGACTCTTGCAGGCCGAGCCCTGATACATGCCAGTGACTCTGCACACCCCGAAACTTCACTGAGGCACCTGCCATTGGCCCCTCATCATCCCAATAGTGTGTAGCAGCAAACCAACAACATGGAGAGGGATGGAGAGACCCACCAGTGCTCCCAGTTCCCTTTGCAGAATAAAGGTGATGGGTGGGGGGGGGTCACAGTATAAATATGATTATTTAAAGAGGCTGCTTCCTTTTCGTACAGTATCAAAGGGTCCAAGCACGTGCTGATATTCCGGGCAGAAGCAGCACAAAGACAATGTTGACCAAATGTGGTCCGGAGCTGGGTTAGGGTGTGGTCCTTGTGTGTAGAGCCCACAAAGCAGACTCTGTGACCTCCAGCGCAGTAAACGGTCCTCCTGCGTGGGGCTAGGGGGCAGTTCTTAGGCATACAGACCACTGAGCGGACTCTGTGACCTCCGGAGGGCGGGAAAGGGTCATCCTATTTTGGGTTAGTGGGCGATTCTTAGGCATGTAGACCGCCAAGCGGACTCTGAGACCTACCGGTATGATGAAAAGTGCTCCTGTGTTGGGCCACTTCATGAACCAAACAGCTGCCAGCGCCTCACCATAACTGTGATTATGTGCTGCTCACGTTGCCCATGGCAACCATGGCATCGCCTAATGGCATCTGTGCTCATGATGGCCATGCTCCCATGATTGCTTCCCAGTAATGAGCCAGAGCACAGAGTGTGGTGGCCACACCACAGCTGAAGACCACCCCCAGCACACGACACTGGTACTCTGGGTCCTTCCTGGTTCTCAGCCCCCCCCCCCCCCCCAAAAAAGGCAAAGTGCTTACCCCATCCTTTTCCCACTTTTTGATTAGTCAGGCACAAAGTGTTTTTTGTCCTAGTGATGAATAAGGAATATTGAACGGGCATAAATATTCCTTATGTGACTTTGCCGCTGCCCATCTGTGGTTTGCCGCTCCACGCCGGGATTCGAAGGAACGCTAAATGCAAGGACAGCGATTTGGGAAATGCCGGGCTCAGCCCCCGGAAATCCCCTGGGGGGGGGGTGCATCCTGGGATTGGCGGCTTGTAAAGCTGGGAAGCAGGTGTGGGCTAATGATCATTAAATATATATATATATATATATATATATATATATATATATATATATATATATATATATATATATATATATATATATAT